AAGCAGAGAGACCGCTTTCAAATGAACAACAAAGGCTTCTATCGAAAACTTCAATTGGCAACCCCGTGAATTCGCGCGCGCTCGCGTACAAAGTTCGCGCCATGACGGCAAGAGAATTTCCGCCGAAATTCTCGTCACCGCGTAGCGTTTCCCGATGCCCGCCCCCTCCCCCCCTAACGTCTAACGTAATACTTTCGAAATCCGTTTGCGAAGCGATACCGGACGGATTGAGGCTGCAACTAATTAATTAGCTTAATTGCCGATCCAGTAGCCAGACGTCATCTGAGGCGCGACTTGCGCGGTTTGTCAACGTGACCTCTGAGAACCTCGTTTGGTAAGAGACTTGGCAGAGTCAGGCGCGAGATCAGTCGTAGTTTCTTCTCTGATTTCTGCCTGAATCTCACGAGGAATCTCGCAACAACGCAACATTCTCTCTTGCTTCTTTTCCCTTCGATGATCCGGGCAACCTTTGGCCCGTCCAAGATTACAAGATTAGCTTTTGTCGCTCGAGTGTCCGCTCTTGAGAATCGCTGGCAGCCGCATCCATCGAGAGTATTCGAGCGGCTTGAGCGGAAACTTTCGACGATGTCAGTTTTCAAAAGAAACTAACCGACACCGTCGTAACTTGCACTTAAACTAAAAACTCGCTCACTAATTCTGCCGCTCCTCGCGCTCCTTTTTAATTATTTTGTTATTCATTTGCTCGACCACAGGAACAATGGATTTATTCCAATAATTAATAATAGTAACCTCAACAGCAAATCGGCTGCGACTCAACGACTTACTACGCGATATACCATTTATACCGTCCCGCGTGAAAGTTTCACACCGCCGCTTTTTTTTCATACTCTCCGCTTTAATCTCTCCTTCGCGTCCCCTTTCGCAGATTATCCGTTCACATTTTAAAGAGAGCGCGTCGTCTCGAAGAAACTCGCGCTGTTGCTCTCCTTAACGTCTCCGTGAACGATTTCTTTTAAGACCGATTAACTTTATCTCCCGCTCGGTTAATTCGTCTCTCGCATTTCCGCGCCGCGAAACGTCGCCGTTCTGTTTTCCTTCTTCTTTTTAATCCCACTTCATTCGACATTCGAGTTTCGTCTCAGGCATCGTTGGCGGCTACATTCGGCGGTCATTATTCATGAAAAGTCGTCATTTTGCAAAGGCATAAAACTTTTGTCTATCCTCTGAGTGAAAGCTCTCACGCAGAGTAGAGCTTTGAGAGTGAGTGAATGAGAGAGAGAGAGAGAGAGATGAAAAACGCACATACAGTTTATGTACAATTATAAGTCTCATTAAAACAGCCATCTATACGACATATCATGCGAGTTCAGATGAGAACACAAAGCATTTCGAAATTCCCACGAGCTTGCATAAAGCGCGTCTCGCGGCCTAAAGTTTAAGCATACTTAAGTATAATTTACAAAGAAGCAACTTGTAGCGTAATGCTCTTTTGACAACGATTACGACGATTGAAGGTCAGTCGTTTACGTATAATAAATTTATGACGCGAATCTTTAATTAATACCAAGCCCAGAGCTTTCGTAATAAACATACGGCTCTTATTTGTTCATTATCATAAGATTAATAATCAACATCTGTGAGAAGTTTGAGGTGCGCAAATTGTGTGAGCAAATCGTTGACTCTTGATCTTGACGGGCGACTGAAATACCTACCTACATACGAGAATAGTCCCAGAAGTACCTGACCTGACGTATAGATAGCGGTTGTTGTTTGAAAAGAATGACTATGGTAGAAAGTACCAACCTTATAAAGCTTAAGTTTGAAGTTTTACGACGCTACGTTGTTTGGTATTTGTTTGGCAGCCATCAATAGTGAATGCTCTCAGTGAATTTGTAAACATGGAACAAATTGGTCATCGTTATGTGATACAATACTTTCATTTGAAAGGCCTCGGTCCAACCAATATGAAAGCGGAGCTAGATTCTACTCTGGGGGAGTCCGCTCCTTCGTTTACAACAGTAAAATATTGGGTGGCAGAGTATAAACGAGGCCAAGTACGAGCTGCCAAGACGAACATCGCAGTGGTCGACCACGCCAGAAATGGTGAAGAAAATCCACATAATGGTATTGGATGACCGTCGACTGAAAGTGCGCGAGTTAGCAGACATGGTAGGCATTTCAAAAAGTGCTGTACATCGCATATTGACTGAAAATTTGAACATGAGAAAGCTGTGCTGTGCAAGATGGGTGCTGCGATTGGAACGAGCAAAACAGCGTCGTGAGGATGTTTCAATCGAGTGTTTGGCGAAGTTTCGCAGCAATAAAGCCGAATTTTTGCGTCGATTCATAACCATGGATGAAACATGGATCCACCACTTCACATCAAGGTTGATGGCTATTTTGAGGAGCTCGACGATTCCCATTATAAACAGGGTATCGAAGCTATTGAACATCGCTGAGAAAAGTGTATTGAGCCAAAAGGAGACTATGTAGAGAAATAAAGATATTTTTTCCCAAATTTTTTGTGTTTTCTTCGTTGGGTCAGGTACTTGTGGGACTACCCTCATATTCCTTTCTCTGACTTCTTCATACGATTTATCGCGATGTGACACATGACGTCTAAATAGCTTCGCACACACAATGTGCGTAGATTTATTTTAATTAATTATTGTTATACAGCGCAATTCAACGATTAATTAATTACGATAACGCTGCACACATCGCGTGCGTGATAAATGATCCAATGAGAAGGGAGAAAAAAGTGAGGGAGAACATTCTACTTGCCCGCCAAAATCAAAAGAGAGAATCAGCAATTGGTCTACATATATTCGGGGCAGCATCGGGAAACGCTCTTTGACTAGTCCGACTGTCTCGCGGACAAAGTTGATTATTATTCAAAGCCGAATACATTCGAAACACATTATCAATATTGCGACATCGCGAAGCAAGAAATTACATTATTATACTTGTTTACTTCGTAACTTTTCACTGAGATTACGACCGATCAATGTCGACATCGTATCGTCCGGCTACACTTATTTCGATACATACATGTACGTGTACATGCGGTGGGCCATCGAATCCCGTTTCTTCTTCTTTCGTCGTCGGATACAATTGTGTATGTGGAAGCAGCATGATTTGAATATACACACAACTGCGACATATAATACGTATATACTTACTCGACCGTGCTCTGTTTGGTGGTCACAGCGACTGACGGGGACAAGAGGTCATTTGCATATGCTCCGTCTGATATGGGTATATAAATATTCAAAATATGATATGGGTATAATCATCATCGGTTAAGCAGATAATAAGACCTCTTACAGAAATAGTTAAATACTAAAAGTTCAATCATTTCGGCCAGTCGCCGTCGTTTCTGCCTACATGTTTCGCATGTTTCGCTGTTGATTAATTGAAAGAGCAGAAACGTGCTATAAACAAAAAGTGATATTCCGTCAGATTGATTGACACGCTAGACGATACGATGTTTAATGATCTGATGATGATAATTCGGAAATGCTGAATTTTCAGATGTCATGAGAAACGCATAATTCGAAATAATGTAGCTGAGCAAAAACTTTTACTAATTATGAATTTATCGATGATAAAAAACTTGGTCCGTCCGTCAAGAGACCGTCGTGCACATACGTCGGTTGCTGCGAATTCAATCTTAGCGTAAAATAAAAAAAACCGCTACGAAGCCAAGAACCACAAGGACGACAACCGAAAATCGTCCGAGGCAAATTGTCCGAGACCTATCCTCGACAAAACGCGGCCAATCTCGAAACGCCTCTCGCGCGCGCGGACATCGTTGAGAAGATACGTGAGGGAAATATTCAGCTCGACATGAACAAGAAGAATCACATAGAACTGCGCATCGTCAGAGACACAGACATGCTGCAGACGTGCTGAAAATTCCTATATCTTTTACCACTTGTTCCTTCTCATTAATATAATAATAATAATAATAAAAGCATCCTCTTTGTTGATCCTACATATTATCGAGTTGATTGATATTGTCGAGATTTTTCTCAAGTGATCAGTCCGACTTGCGACGGACGATTTCCGAGGTATTAAACTTGCTATTCTTGCGCGAGAAGTTTCATGAAACATGTAAAATAATGCAGAGACAAACGCGGTTGCGACGAAAACAGAAAGAGAGAGAGAGAGAGAGAGAGAGAGAGAGAGAGAGAGAGGGAGATGACAATTTAAATTCTCGGAACACGAGACCGGGCATCTACGTGCTCGACGTGCGAGACCGATCGCGACGCACATCGCCGAGGCAGATTGCGCATGCCCACCGTAAATTGAGCGTAGATCGAGCAAGCCGCTAGATGCCGCTGGATCCGATTAGTCACATTAGGATCGACTCATCCTTCGGTCCTAACTTCCCTAATCGGACGGAGTTGAACCGCGCGTACTAGCAGTGCGATAACACGATCAAACTCGTACCAATCTACGCGCCTATTACCATCGCGCGCGCGCGCGCGTTTGCATTTACCCACTTACCGGTACGCGCGCAAAGTAAATCGAAATCGTCCTCGTCGATCTCGAGTCGCGCTCGTCGTCGTTGCGGACAGACAGAAATCCGGCAGCGGAGCGACTCTTTCCGTTCAAAAATGTCCCCGAATTACATCCCCCCTCCCCTGCTATACTATCGCGCTACTAATTACAATCGCAAAGCAAACTGGAAAGAATGTCAAGCGCCTTAGTGTCTCAAGCGCGCGATTATTCTGCGCGAAGATTACAAGCGCGATTGAAAAATTTCCTCCTCCACGGACTTTTCGTCGATTAACTTCGACGATCTTGACGATTAACGCGCGACGATTGCGAAGCGAATCAAGCACTTGAGAAGAATCTTAAGAAAAATTTGTTGTTGAATGTTAAGTTGTATGCGAGCAATGATATCTCGCAGAGCTTCTACAATGAATCGCATGTTGGGCGCGTTGACACTGTGCTCCAATTTCACATTGATCGCTTGATCGCGAAATATATATATATATATATATATATATATATACTGTATTTCGTTTCAGACTTACAATCAAAGCGGGATGCCCGATGAATCTCGAAGATTTCCCGATGGACACGCAGAGATGCCCATTGCAGTTCGGCAGTTGTGAGTTTAGCAAAGGTTTTCCTTCCGTCCTACGAGCCGCGGACGGTCGTGGTCGTCCGCTGCTTTTTGCTCTCTGTCCGTTTCTTCCCTCGACGTAAGGAGAGAGGCCCGGCCGGCGAATCCCGGTAACAGGATTCAAAATTATTCGTCCCTCGGGTGGTCTCTAATCTCATAAAGAAAAATCACGCACAGGCGTGATCTCGCAGGCACGATCGATCTTAATGCATTCCGTTATATATACGTATGGCGTATAGCTCACGTCAAACTTCAAGTTACGACCGAACCGGAACCTATTCAAATTAGACATCCCGTTAAAATCGAAAATGCAAATTGACCAATCGGTAACACTCCCAACCTCGCACAGATCTCGTCCTCGTCGTCCGTCCCCGTAAAGAGATAAAAAATATATTCGAGATCCAATATAAATCTGTGAGAATTTCAATGTCGCTCGATCGGCTTCCTCGGCTCGTAGTGACTTATTTATTTGTCGCGCATACTTTCGAGAAAACTCGGACACACACACGTTATCCTTGGAGGATAACGAAGTACGGACGCACGCATGTCGATTGTCAATTACCGTTAGATGATGATGATGATGATGATGACTCGATCTCACTGGCAGCACCAAATTAATCCGTTCACAGTCGGCTACACTACACGCGACGTAATCTACAAATGGAACAGCGCGCGGCAGGTGGCTATAGCGGAGGACATGAAACTGTCGCAATTTGATCTGGTCGCCAATCCTACCGCAAATCACTCATCCACACCAGGTCTGTCGCATGGTGAGTGAAATCGCGGATCAAGAATGGCTAGTTCACTGACGTTATCCCTTGCGACGATCGCGAGTCGTGGAAACGAACATCAGAGTGTGTGTGTGTGTGTGTGTGTGTGTGCTGTCGAAAGTAAAGAAATAAATAAACGAGAAAACTAAGCTTTTGTGCTTTACGGAACTACATAGGAAAAGCTGATGGTAAATGCAATAATCAAATCTCGCCGAGCGATCAATAACAGAGCCGAACGACGGTAGTCACATTCAATGTTCTCAGTAATTCGGCGCGGAAAAGAAGGAGCGAGAGAAAAGAGAAGAAGGGACGAGAGAAGAAGAGATATCGAGAGCTAAGACCGAAATTGTGAGAAGTCGAAAGGAAAGTTTGGTCGAGAAGGAAGTCGAGGCCTATATCCCTTGTGTCTCGTGTTACTGTAAATACCGAAAATAACGAGAAAAGTATACAGGAGTGACGGACAAGTTGCGCGGACTGAGAAAATAACGTTGAAAGTTAGCGTGCGAAAAACGCTGACGACTAATTGCAGTTTTTCCTCTGAATGACGACTCTTTTTCTGTGTATGTCTCTCTCGCTCTTTCTCTCTCTCTCTCTCTTTCTCTCTCTCTCTCTCTTTCTCTCTCTCTCTCTCTCTCTCTCTCTCTCTCTCTCTCTCTCTCTGTCTCTCGCTCTCTCGCTCTCTCGAAGTTTTCATTGTCCTCCCGCACCGGCAGTAGCAGGAAAGTAGCTGGAAACCTTCGTAGATTCGGCCCGCACATTTCAATTAAATTATTATTGATTAATAAACGGCAAGCACACGGTCGCCTTGGCCTTTGCCCGCTGACTCGAATGCGCTTATTGAGGAAATCTGCTGAAAATCGTAGAGTCGCACAGTTCAGAACGCCGCGCCGCGGAAAGATTCGTATCGCATCGTGGTGCCTTGAAAGCGCACAATCTCGTCGTCTCTCGCAACAGCATATTACGACGCATTATGACGTGACTTTATTGCAACATTTACGGTAGAAAAACACAAGTTTTGCACAAATGCGAAATAAATTGTTCAAATAAACGCGCATGAAATAAACAGTATTGTACATTAAAGTGGCTTAAACGACATGACATCCTCCATGACATCGAGATGAAAACGATCGAGTATTTTTCGCGAGGGCTTCGACGTGACACACACCTAATCTCTCCCAATCTCTCTCGGCGGAGACGACTTTGACGAACGTGAATTTTGTGAACCGGTAAGAAATGGCTAATGTGGAAGAGCTGATTGACGATCGGTTATACTCATTGCGAAAGGATCATAATCGACGTCGACGTCGTATCGACGTTTAAATGTTCTCTCTTCTCAATCCGACGAGAGAGAGAGAGAGAGAGAGAGAGAGAGAGAGAGAGAGAGAGAGAGAGAGAGAGAGAGAGAGAGAGAGAGATCCGCCGTTATTGTAAAGATGTCCATGTTTATCTCAAACGAGTCACGTTAAAACGCACGTTTCAGCGGAGTACTCGATGCTCCTGGTGTACTTCCACTTGCAAAGGCACATGGGTAACTTCCTGATACAGGTATACGGTCCGTGCGTCCTGCTGGTCGTCCTGTCCTGGGTATCCTTCTGGTTAAATAGAGAAGCCACCGCCGATAGAGTGTCCTTGGGTAAGAGAAGCCGCCCGTTGTCCATTAACAATTGATGCGTGTTCTTGTGAGACTTGTGCTGTTGTAATATCCGCGACGCGCATGGAATATCGTCTAATGTCGCGTTCGCGAACGTGCGCACAGGTTGCACGGTGCGTAAACCGTGCGTAAACCGGAAATCACTGCGTCGGACGCTAACAACGCGCCAACAGCGCGAAAGCGCACACGGCCGCGCCGTTTAACATGCAATCCTTTCTCGATCTACTTACCGGCCTTCGATTTCTAGCCTCGTGCTGAACTCTCTCTCTCTCTCTCTCTGTGCTTCAACATGCGCGCGCGCTGTCACAAATCATCAGACATCTCGACTTAGACCGTCTTTCCAAAATTATCCCTGACGCGGCACCGCATGAGGAATTCTCCTCGATCGAAAGAGAAATCAGACACGCGGTTCGGATCTACGGAGGAGAGAGAATCTCTAGAAGAAAATTGAGCCGTGAGAAAATCGAGACGCGCTAATAAAATAATCGAGTCGAATCGCTTACATTTATTCAGTAGATTCAAGCGATGGCCGTTGCTTCGGGACTCGCAATACACCGAACGTTCGATTCCCGTTCGATCGCCGCGTCCCTTTTTGTTTCAGGCATAACTACCGTCTTGACGATGACATTCTTAGGACTCGAGGCACGAACCGACCTACCAAAAGTTCCTTACCCCACTGCCCTGGACTTTTTCGTCTTCCTTTCGTTCGCTTTTATATTCGCCACGATAATACAATTCGCGGTGGTCCACTATTTCACCAAGTACGGCTCAGGCGAGTGTTACTTCAGCTCCGATTTAAGCGACACCGATAGCTCGAGCGAAGAGGAGGAGATGGCCAGGGGAAGACGTGTGAAAAATCAAGCGGTAAATGCCCGTGCCTTTGAGCGAGAGCGTTCTTACATTCGTTTTCATTGAGATTTCTCGCCCGCGATATGCGTGTCGCGTGATATCGACGAATCCAACAACATATTTTAACACGCGACAGTGATTCTCAGTATTCGAGCATTCGAGCAGTCTTGGAAGTGGTTTCATTGGAAACCACCGAAAATTGGGACGAATTGTTAAGCTGCGCGAAAATCTATCTCTTCAGGCTCGTCGGAAAAGTTCCGCCAGTTCTGGCGTACGAGGACCGACGCGTGGCGGCCGCAACTTCACGATGAACGGCGATGGCATGATCGAGGTGATACCGCTCTCGGCGATCTCGATACCGGACAGGGATCCCGCGATGGGCCCGCATTGGCAGATATCCTGCGTGACCTGCAGTCCGCCACCGCGGCAACCGCCGCCGCCGCCGCCGTCCAAGAGAACGACGCCGCGGCCGGGTGAAAAACGACGACGCCGACGAACACCCAGATATAATTCCGTGTCGAAGATTGACCGTGCCAGTCGCGTGGTGTTTCCGCTCTTTTTCCTGGCCATCAATCTCTTCTACTGGTACGCGTATCTGTCGCGCAGCGAACGGATGCAATATTACAATGTCGTGAATGCCGCGTGATGCCGCGTGTCCGAGCCGCCCGCGCCGCGGCGAAAGCAAAAGCGGGAAAAGGGAATTAGCGCTGGGAATTAGTCTGTGCAATTGTACGGCGAACTGGCGATCAAGAACGAATCACTTTTTGCCGGAGGAACAAAAAGGAGACGAATCTTCGCGTGACAATTCTGCACGTGACTGAAAATCGCGACTACATATTTTATTTTTTATCCCTGTGAAATGATGCCCGAAGAAATAACAAGACAAATTCGCAAATGCATTTACGCATAAGTGCGTACAGCTACGTATGTTTCCCTTCGTGTAAAAACGACGAGACTGGGAACGGGTCGAAATTTTAGAGGAAACTTTACCGCTAGCAAAAGTTGTGCGTGAGTTCGAGTATCGATCGAAATTATCTAATTACGCCGCGCGGGAAACGCGCTCGAGAATACGTAAAACAAACAGAGAAAATGAGATCAAGAGAAACCCAACTATAGAGCATACAATATATATCGTAAGAGCTAAGCCTCCTGTAAGTATTCCTGCCAAGTAAACGTACATCAAAATATCGCGCGAAAAGAATGTTGTATTAATATAATATAGTTTTATATTTACACATTCTCCCTCTCTGTCTCTTTACAGCTCTGCCTGAAAAAGAAGATATATTACCGCTACTGAAATACAACTTGTCAAACTAGTAAAAATGATTGTGTGTATTTTCGTCATTTATAATTAGATGGATAATTAGATAGAGGGAGGGAGGGAGGGAGGGAGGGAGGGAGGGAGGGAGGGAGGGAGGGAGGGAGGGAGGGAGGGAGGGAGGGAGGGAGGGAGGGAGGGAGGGAGGGAGGGAGGGAGAGAGAGAGAGAGATAATTTACATACAATACGAAGAATTTGCAAAAATTTATGTCGAAGGTATAAATTATTAAGATTTAATCCACTATATGACTCTTCTGTTCGTGCTACTAGTGCCCCATTAAAACTATCCGTATCTACTTCGAAAGGCAAATATAGAATTTAAGTGACATCTTACGGGAAACAAATGGCAGTTACCAATCTACAGTTTTACAGTGTTCATTGTTATCAACATGACCAAAATACCGATAAATTTTCTTCAAATGCGAGAAAGTTATCAACAAAAGTAAATATGTAACATTTCCCGATCGTTATATCTAGATTTGTCTATATCTGTTGAGATATATGATAAATTGAAAAATATTTACTGTGCTGTGATTGAATTTTGTTCAACTCATTCTTCCGAGTAAAATAGCAAACGAAATGACGTGGAAACGCGTAGATTAACACACTGACACATATACTATGTATGTAATAAGAGAACTTATTTATTACCAATACACACCATGGTACTTGAAGTCATGTTGGGAGAAAAATCTAAAGCAAAGGAATATCCTGTACCTCTTACCTATGAATTGTTGATACAACACATATAAAGATAGAACCTGTTGCAATATGCACTCATGTATCATTGATTCATATTACATATTGACAAGTCTATACAAATACTTGTTTACGCACTTTCCAATAATCCCATCCTTAATTACATAGTACACTCACATGTTACGTCAGGTAAATGTATTCGAAACAATATAAAAACACAGCGATCGACACCAGATATCGACACTTTGTTAAGATAGATATTTAGGTGAAGTCTTTTCCAATTATATTTTGTTACATAAAAAAATATGTTACACGGCATTCATTTTCAAACGCGCTTGGAAGTATTCGCCGTCACCTTTGGTCGCTTGTCTGTTGATTTCCCTGTGGTGGTCACGACTCACTATTTCTTCGAGAACTTCTCCATCGCCTTTGATTAATCTACGCATAACATGAAAATTCATTTTAACGAGGAGGGAGAAAAAGAGAAAACGAAAGAGAGAGAGAGAGAGGGGGGGAGGGGGAGAGAGGGGGAGAGAGGGGGAGGGGGGGGAGAGAGAAAGAGAGAGAGAGAGAGAGAGAGAAAGAGAGAAAGAGCGAACACAAATAACAAAAGACCATATTTTCGTGAGTATCAGTTTTATCATCTCTCTGTTATTTATTTCGTTGAACAATGTACTTACCTGTATCTTCCAGTCTCTTTGTCGTAAACTTTCCGCACGATACTCTGCCTTTTTTCCCACTCCTCTTTCGTCATAGGTGCCATGGCTTTTGCTTTCTCCGCCATTTCGGACGCAATTTCGTTCGTCGTATCCTCTTTGCCAGTCTTTTCCTTGGGCTTCTTCTTGCTGTGTCTCTTTTTCTTGGGTACAATTTTCTTCGATTTCTTCTTCAGTTTCTTCCTCATTCGTTTCTTCTTCTTCTTCCGTTTCTGCATAGCCTTTTTCTTCAATCTTTTAGCCTTCTTCAGGACTTTCTTCCGCTTCTTCTCAGCCTCTGAGCTGCTGCTGCTACTGCTACTACTACTACTGCTGCTGCTGCTGCTGCTGCTGCTGCTGCTACTGCTGCTGCTGCTACTGCTACTGCTGCTGCTGCTGCTGTCGGCATCACTACTGCTACTACTGCTGCTTGAGCTACTGCTACTGTTGCTACTGCTGCTACTGCTGCTGCTGCTGCTGCTGCTGCTGCTGCTGTTGCTGCTGCTAATACTGGAAACACTGGAAGCTGACAAAGATCTCTTCTTTTTCAATTTCTTACGACTAGGCTGAGTCTTGTCTTGTATTTCAGTTTTCCTCTTTCCTTGCCCTACGACTGTGTCATCCTTAGCGGAATCACGCTTTTCCACTTCTGAGGTGATTCGTAATGGTTTCGTATGCTTTCTCTCTCGTATGCATTGACTAGCTGTATTTTTGCTTGTATTCCTGTATTGATCTTGCACCCTTGGTCTGCTGTAACCAAATGTTCTCTTGTAACCCCCATGGTATCCTCTTCTGTCACTGTTATATCTAATATAATGGGTATTGTTATATACATCCCTTCTGTCATAGCTGTAATGTCTGGGATATCGTGAATCCAGCCAACCACGGTCTCTTTGATTATCAGAAAAATTACTGTGTCTTCTATTGTATGGTCTGAAATCATTACTGTACTTTTCACTTCTCTTCTGAGACTCTGTGTAACCATTTTCAAATTTCTTGATTTTATGTTCAGCATCCTCGCCTCTATCATTCCTGATTCTACGTGTATTTGCCTCTGAACTCGAAACACTGGAAGAACTAGAACTGTTAGAGCTACTCCGTTGTTTAGACTTCTTCCTTTTGTCCTTACTGCATACGTTTCGTCTCTTTTTGTTCCTTTCAGAGTCATTACTGCAAGCAGATGCCGACCGTCTATTAAGTGTACTCCCTGTCACTTTGAGAGGCGACTTTGTCTCGATAACAGGTGCCTCTGAGTCATTCATGGTTACTTCATGGATATTATTTTGCTGAAGATAAAATTTGGTTACGATAAATGTCACATCTTACTATACTCGTCGTCGGTTATAAGAAATGGTCATAAATGAAATTCGCTACTATATTGTACTGAGGAAATTTAAATCTCCCAAGAGGCAATACCAATGTTTACTTACAGCGATACGCTACGAAAAGATAACCTGAATCATAGCCGCCAGTTACCATATTCCATTACACGGTATTGTTCAATGACGCAGTTATTGATTCTTAAACACTTGTAATTTAGAGAATGATTGAAAAACTGATAGTTTCCAAGAATTTACGGACTATACATTCCCCTTCTATGAACTTTTAGCTGCTTCCAACGTTTCCTCATTGATTTCCATTACATCTTTTCGTTCGTTCGGTCGGTATATGGCTTTAGCTAGTAAGGCGTACCCATACGCCATTCGCCTTCATTACATCTTTTTGAAAGCTTAAAAGCGGCGCTTAGGGTCGCTTTTCATGTTTGGTTTCTTATTTTAGGGATTTTCCACCAGTCTTCTCATTATCAGTGTGAGTATTTACTTCCCTACTCGCGTTTACTAAATGAGAATAAAGCTTTATTCCGACGAAAGTAAAGGCCTTTGCATGTGGAAAATCTATAGCGTGGTCTACAATGGCAGTAAGTAGTAAGAAGTAAGCGTAAGCAGTAAGAAATAAACCAATCACAGTCGATTATGACAAAAATAATCGACTGTGGTTGGTCCATTTCTTAGGCCCATTGCAAAATGCCAGGCAACAAGCATTAAGAATAAAAATAGACCAATCACAATCGACTATTACAAGAATAATCTATTGTGATTGGTCTATTCTTATTGCCTGTTGCCTGGCATTGTGCAAGGGGCTTTAGACCCGATCTACAATAAGAAGTTAGCCCGTCTACATTACATGGAGTAAGCCTAAATTAAGAAGTAAAGCCAGCGGCACACGGTGCTTGTTTTCGTGTTGGATTGCTTGCTGGATGAAAATACTGTGTTCTGATTGGTACATTTCCGAAGATGGATGGAAATGCACCAATCAGAACGCAATATTTTCATCCAGCAAGCAATCCAGCACGAAAAGAAGCACCGTGTGCCGCTGGCTTTAAGCGTCGTCTACAATGGCAGTAAGCAGTAAGAAGTAAGCGTGAACAGTAAGAAATGGACCAACCACAGTTGATTATTTTTGTCATAATCGACTGTGATTGGTCTATTTCTTACCGCTTACGCTTACTTCTTACTGCTTACTGCCATTGTAGATGACGCTTTACGCTTAAGCCAGCGGCACACGGTGCTTATTTTCGTGTTGGATTGCTTGCTGGATGAAAATACTGCGTTCTGATTGGTGCATTTCCATCCATATTCGGAAATGCGCCAATCAGAACGCAGTATTTTCATCCAGCAAGCAATCCAGCACGAAAACAAGCACCGTGTGCCGCTGGCTTTACTTCTTACTGCCTACTGTAGCCATTGTAGACGAGCCTTTACTGTTCACGCTTACTTCTTACTGCTTATTACCATTATAGACGGCTCTTTAACACGTTCATTATCGGACTGAAAATTTGAATTTCGTGTGGTGGCCAAAGTTATTTTTTCTTTTATTTATTTTTAGTCGTTTTTTTGCACGATTGAACTGGCATTGAACTGAGTCTTTTCGAAGGTCCTGCTTTGTCACTCATAATAAAAAACAATCGCATAAACGGTCGTTTGGTGAGAGGCCGCAACACGCGATATCGCGTGAACGACAATGAACGTGTTAACAGACCTACTAATAAGCCGGTAGTCATAAGACATAAGTAAATTGACCAAGCACAATCGATTATCCCGAAAAATCATCGGTTGTGGTTGGTCAATTTACTTACGTCTTATGACTAACGGCTTATTGTCGAAAGCCATTCATTCTTGCTGTCATTATGGGGAGTTTTTGCAATACCATCATTCAAATGCGGTAAATGTAAATCGTGAATGCCATTGGTCGCGTACATTGCGACATTATTTCTGAGCGAAAAAGTCCGTAATCGTAATCATAAGGCTGTAGTCGTAAAATCTGTTAAGCGGGAAGCATACACTCTTGCATAAAGGCATAATACACAATGCGTAAAGAAATTAACCAATTAGAATCTTCATTTCTACTGTCACGCTGGAAATTAAAGACTCTGATTGGTCCATTTTCTTATGTGTTGTGTATTATGGCTTTATGCAAAAGTGTGCGCTTCTCGCTATACCCATTCTTTGTACTCCAATGTACGCATACGCACGAAATCTTAATAAAACAGAGACTGAAATATTATATATTCGCATATATAATCTGGGCGACAAGATCAAAGGAGAAAAAAACAGCACAACTCCTGATCATCATTTCACTGCTCTCCTATTGGTTAACCATAAGGTGTTAATCCAACGCGACGGAAATTTTGCGATTACAGCTATGGCCTTACGGTTACGTATGTTCATTTCGAGTTTATTTTTTTTTTTTTTCGTACGTGTTGGAAACTTACGACTTTACGGTTACGGCTTTTGCACGTTTTTTCCACGTGCAAAATGCTTAAGCGATTATCGATTCTATCGATACGAAATTCTCAATCGATATATTCCTCGACGTATTTTTGTTTTATTGTTTGTTTAATAAACATATTGTAGCGCCATATAAGTACCCTACATCGACATGCGATAACCATAAAAGCCATGAAAACTTTTCGTATTTGTGAATAACTTTGGCGACAAATATGTAAATTACACAAGAAAGACATTGATCAAATGAAGAGAGTGTCACAAAATGTTGGAGAACGATATAGCTTGTTACTGCAAAGGCAAAGTGAGCTTTTCACATAGCCATGTTATCGATGCCTTTAATTTTATTTAAAATATAATTGTGTGCTGTTGTACACATATGCGTGCGCGCGCGCGCGCACACGCAGCTCACTACGTGAACACGTGAATTAAATTACAATATCACAATAATCTCAAATTAAAAGGAAATTTGCATAAACATACATAGTCGTGATTTAATGTTCATAAGGTGATTTTACATTATCAGCAAGAATTTGAACTTACTCTTTAAAGCTGGTAGCGAGAGGGGACGGAAATAACACAGTAATCAACGACCAAATTTACAATACCACCGAATCATCAATTCTGTACTATCGCACAGCGCATATTTAAAGCAGAGACGTGTCGAAATAGTTGAAATATTATCGGTTAGTCATTTATCAACATGTTTGAAAATATCCGTAAAAAAACGGACATACATACGTCAATATTTATCATGTCAACACCACGTGCATATCACAGGCATACGTTTGCGCGTATTCAGAGCCAAAATTTGTTATGCAGCGCATCTCGACACGAAATGCGCTCCGAATCCGTTACTGCGTGCAATAATTAAAACTCGAAAAGCCGTTTCGTTAATTTCCCTCTCCTCGATCTTTTCATCACTAATACCGGGTCTCATCCATGCATCACAAGATTTGTACGTGCAACAACATATCTGAATTATCATCATCCGTTACCGCATGTACCGAGCCCGAACCCACTCTTCGCCTGGAGCTGCAAAGGATCATCGAGACGCTCACCGCGCCTGGGAAGGGATTGTTGGCGTGCGATGAATCTCCGACCGGGCTGGAGCACAGATTCTGCGACATCGATGTAGAGAACAGCGAATCCGCGAGGCGCGATTATCGGGAGATGCTGCTGTCCACAGACAAGGTCGGCCGCGCGCGCGCACGTGATGACAGTAGTAGGGACGAAAATATACCGCGACGATAAAGGCGCGTATATGCCGCGGATAAATGCCAAAAATCGGTAGCTTCAACCCCAACGAGACAATATTGCGCACCGCGGAGTAATCGCAACTTTTCTCGATAACGAGAGGAACGACAAGAACGAATTTATTCGATTTATAGCATCGATATAGCCACTAAAATACCATGAAATAGAGAAGGTAAATTGATTTCTAGAGTCAATCTATAGACAAGAGTCTATAGAAGTAACGACAGACTGTACTGTCTGTCTCTGTTATATTGACATAATATTTGTAACATTGACAATTTGCGGGAGAGAACACGATATTTAAGAATAATAAAACTCTCTTCACTTGTGAAGAACGTGAGTAAGAATAAGTTCTCGTTAAGCTGCCATACAAAACCGCCGTATAGAACCGTATATACAGGGTGCACGATTTATTTGAAGACATTGAAATATCTCGAGAACTATGCATTGGATAAAAAAAGTGGTCAATGAAAGTTGTAAGTCTCGAAGGGGGACATCCAATGATACTAAACTCGACCTCCCACCCCACCCCCTGGGGGTGGGGGTTGGGGGCAACTTTGAAATCTTAAATAGAAATCCCCATTTTTTATTGCAGATACGGATTCTACGCCACAAAATATGTAAATTTTGTCCGAAACTTTTTTTTTGATTCGTGATAGATGGCGCTGTAATTGCGAAAGATTATATTTTCCGCAATTCTCCAGAAATGATCATTGGATTGAGAAATAAAAAATACCTGTTCAATATTTTTAAAGAACATAATAAAAGTTATTCCCCCCCCTCCTCTCGGGGTAGGGTGAGTGATAACGTTCAAATCTCAAATGGGGACCCACATTTTTCATTGCAGAATTAGATTGTACTTTTATTGAAACTTTTATTGAAACAATTTTTTTCATTCGTGATAGATAGCGTTGAATTTTTCCGAGAAACTACTTTTGGCGTTACACAGGAACAACGACGAGCACGTAGTAGTTTTATGTTCCCTTCGGGTGCTTTTTTAATGTGAGTCCCCTTGCCTCTCACAGATCGGGGTGCTTTTTTAATGTGAGTCCCCTTGCCTCTCACTGTTCAATTAATTAGAGTAAGTGTTCGAAATTTTTACCTTCAACTTCAATACACTTATTGATCCTTTTTTCAAATGACTGTACACAGGATAGAAGCATATCTGCGGGAGTTTCAGCGCAAGCGTTTTTTATGCGTTCTACCATGTTTTCACGAGTTGTTGGCACTTGTTGATAAACCTTATCTTTTAGGTAACCCCACAGAAAGGCGCGTCGAGCAGTTCCCTCTTCGATTCGGGTTCCCATTTGAGATTTGAACGTTACCACCCACCCTACCCCGAAAGGATAGGGGGGGGGAATAACTTTTATTATGTTCTTTAAAAATATTGAACAGGTATTTTTTATTTCTCAATCCAATGATCATTTCTGGAGAATTGCGGAAAATATAATTTTTTGCAATTACAGCGCCATCTATCACGAATCAAAAAAAAAGTTTCGGACAAAATTTACGTATTTTGTGGCGTAGAATCCGTATCTGTAATAAAAAATGGGGGTTTCCATTTAAGATTTCAAAGTTGCCCCCAACCCCAACCCCCAGGGGGTGGGGTGGGAGGTCGAGTTTGGTATCATTGGATGTCCCCCTTCGAGACTAACAACTTTCATTAACCACTTTTTTTTATCCAATGCATAGTTCTCGAGATATTTCAATGTCTTCAGATAAATCGTGCACCCTGTATAGAGGCGAGAGAGAGAGAGAGAGAGAGAGAGAGAGAGATTTTCACCGGGGTAAACCAATGATAGAGAGATGCAATAAGCACTTTTCGACGAGCTTATCACGACGACGTCTTCAATCTCCAGCTGTCGCGATACATCAGCGGTGTGATCCTACATGACGAAACGATTCGTCAGAGAACGTCGCGAAACGTGGAATTCGTCGAATTCCTGCGCAGAAGGAACATTGTGGCCGGCGTGAAGGTCGACCTGGGTCTGGTGCCGCTGTTCGGCACCGAGGACGAGAAAACCACGCAGGGACTGGACGAGTTGCGGGAGAAGTGTGCTCGATACAAACAGGCCGGCTGCCACTTCACCAAGTGGAGATGCGTCTTCTCGATCTCTGAGAAATGCCCCAGTCACCTGGCGATGATCACTAACGCGAACGTCCTGGCGAGGTTCGGTCGCAGACTCGTTTCGTGCGAGCTACAAGTCTCCAACCGAGTCCGAGTCCGAAGGCATATCGTAAAAGAATCGTTGCGCAAGCGAGTTTGCCTCTCGCGAAATATCTGGCTAATCCGACGGCAACCCGGCGGAGTGAGCGAGCCGATTCGTAATTCTCGTTTGCGCGCAATATCGCAATAGCGCAAATAATCGGCGCGAGTCGATGCCGATTCGGATTACAGATACGGAACACGGCGCCCCGTATTGTTCGTGCAGCTGCGTGTAGCTGCGCTGTTATTATGCGTAGCGTTACACACAGAGTGTCTATCTGTCACTCTCTTCCACTTAGGTACGCCAGCATCTGCCAGGGCGCGCGAATGGTTCCCATAGTTGAGCCAGACATATTGACGACCGGAGATTACGACATAAATCGAGCTCTGCGAGCTCACCAACAAGTACTGTCAATTCTGTTTCGCGTTCTCAACGAGCACCACGTGTACCTCGAGGGAATGCTCTTGAAGCCGGCGATGGTGTTGCCGGGGATTACAGGCACGAAGAAATACACGCCGCAGGTGTCGTTCGATAGGATAAGACCTCTATAAGTCCTGTAAAGACCTGTAAAGACTGTTTCCTCTCCTCTTTCTCTACGTCTACGTCTACGTCTACTACGTCTTTTCCCTTTCATCTTGTCTATGTCTTGTCATCTCTTCTTCTTTTCTCTTTCCTTCTGTTTCTTTTACAAATATCGACATTTATATCGACACGCGCTTCGCATCCGTCGAGAACGCGACGAGAGAGCGAATAAGCGGATATGCCGAAATGATGATATTCGCATGGTTATTCTCAGACAAGATATTATCAACGGCAAATATATAGATCGGTCGAGTCGAACGACGAGTCACACGAGTCATGGATCATGGATAAGTCGAATTAATTAAAGCCGTGAAAATTTGCGTCGCAGGTCGTCGCTAGGTACACGCTAAGTGTCTTACGAAGAACAGTACCCGTGGCGATCCCGGCGATATTTTTCTTAAGCGGTGGTCAGACCGACGAGGAATCAGCGACAAATCTGAACGCCATCAACACGCACGACGTCGATAAGAAACCGTGGAGATTGAGTTTCTGCTACGGGCGCGCTCTGCAGGTGCATCTGCATTATGCGATCAGTCTGTTTTTCTTTGCTGTACGCCACTTCCACTTGTACAATACTTGTCGTAAATCGGCCGAGTTCATCTTTTTCGCATACTTTGCACCTCTTGTTGCATTACTTGGAGTTGTATATTTTATATTTGAGAAAGTTTGAGAAGGAGCTTCTCACACGTATGGAGAGAGATAGATCTCCCTGTCGCTCTGTCGCTCTGCACTAATCACCACCGTTGATCACCTGCTCTGTCGCAGAACACGGCAATGCAAATATGGCACGGTGATCCAGAGAACGTGGAGCAAGCTCAGGCAAAACTTCTCGAAAGAGCCAGATTATGCTCCGAGGCGTCTTTAGGAGTTTTGCAACTTGAACGAAGCAATATGTACGCTCGCAACACCGACACAATCGACATTGTTTAACGACAAGAATAGCACAAATACAAATAAAGATTCAGAAGATCAGAGGTGTTCTGTCTTTTATGCGTAGTCATATACTCGTCATGCGTAGTATTCGTCAAGTTTTATCATTCTCGAAGAGACTCTCGGGACGACTCGGGTATATCACATTAAATTCTATGAATTCAATCAATTCATTAAATCGATATATATATATATATATATATATATTTGTTGAATGGGCAACATCTCCGATATTATCTCAACGAAAAGCACGCGATTCAAAAATTCTCAGATTCTTTTTTTTCTGTACGCAACAGTAAACGGTGTCTTCTCCACCTAAGGATTATATCTCGTATTTCTCAATGTTGAAAATAGCCCCCGACGGAAACGTCAGTCTCTTATCCACGACTATCAGTCTCTGCCGAAGGCGGTATATGAAAATTCAGTAGAACAAACTGTCCACTCGTCATCGTATTAGCTTTCGTCTGCAATGGCAATAAAACCACGTCATCATAATTTTTTCAACCACGAAGATATGAAGCTTTGAACAGAGCGACCATGTGTGTCTAAAGAAATCCCATCATCTCTCTCACGCTGCTCACTCGCCGATAAGGAACAAGATGAAGTCTTACAAAATGGATGTCGGGTCGAACTCCGATTTTATCAGCGGGCTATCAGCGCGCGCTCGCGTGCGAGAGAGAGAGAGAGAGAGAGAGAGAGAAAGAGAGAGAGAGAGAGAGAGAGAGAGAGAGAGAGAGAGAGAGAGAGAGAGAGAGAGAGAGAGAGAGAGAGAGAGAGAGAGAGAGAGAGGTCAACCTTTAACAGTGAAAAACTGTCTCTCCTTACGCTGTCCTCTTTCTCTCTAATTTTAGATGAATGTCAAACAAGATGCCCTTGATTGACCTCTAAAACGATGGTTCTCAATTCGCGGAACTATTGTCGTGCACGCACGTGCACGGTTCACCTCTCTGCTGGTCGATATGTCGTCATTCTCGACGACTCCCACCCGACGGTGCTCCAATGCCCTCCTTCTTCTTGGATGGCTTACCACCACGTGGTTGCCAGTAACGTAATATTGAATGGGAACGTATCACGTGAAGCAACGCACGCCGATACATACTCAAAAATATACCCCCGCGCGGTATAAACGCGTCGGAAAATTCTATCAAAAATTGAATCATCCAAGTCACTTTGTATCAAAATACAATTTTGTATTAGGATTTATATATACTTTGTATGTATACTTTACTATATCGTCTATATATATATATATAGATATATATATATATTTATATTTATATATATGTATGTATGGGTCTATATTTCTGTCACGCACTTTATTGCAATACGCATTGGTTTGAGACAGCCGTTCTGGAAGAGAAATCGTACGAAAGTTCTAATCACATTCGACGAACGCAAAAAGAGGCACACGAGCACCACCATCTCGAAATGTATCATTGTCGTTCCAATAGGACTGAGATTAAAAACTTAGCCAAAGAACTGTCTGAAACTAACGCGCGCGAAGCACTTTTAATTGACCGATTCCATTCTTAAACGAACGATTGATTTGAAACGTTCATTTTTTACGGTTTTAGCGTGTGTCGAGACAGAGTCGAGAGAATGAGAGAGAGAGAGAGAGAGAGAGAGAGAGAGAGAGAGAGAGAGAGAGACCAGCTGATCGTCTACGAACAACACGCAGGCACGCAGTTGAGCACCGTGTGAACGCAGGAGAACGCGCACGCGCGCGATAAACACGTATTTAGACTTTGAAACGGAGTACGACCAGGCTGCTCCCTCTCAGTCGCACTCCAACCATCGAACGGATTACGACGCAGGTCGACGAGCGCGCGCAGTTTCCATACATACGCACACCACATCCACGGCAAGGTGAGTCCGCGGCCGTACACTCACGCGGCACAAAATTCATCCCATAGGAACCGTCATTCACTCGCGCGCCCCCGGCCTTTCTACGAGGGTATCGATCGGGCGAGCTCGTCGTCTCGTCACGAAGAACACAGTCGAGAGAAATTCAATTCTCGACATTATAACGACCTTTGACCTTGACTGACATTTGATCATTGCTATTGTCGCACAACTCATGCGCGCGCGCGCTCACTAATAAACGATTGTTATCAGCCGCCTCCGTACAGTTGGAATTTTAACGTCTAATCTAACGATCTTGTTATGGCTCCATCACAATGTTTCAATGTGCGAGCGTACTTGATCCATATGTGAAAGAAAAATATATTCTTTTGTTACATCAGTGTCTCGTTGAATATAATTTTGAAGGCAGGCAGACTTTCTACAAAGATTCGAATAGATATCATTTTTAGAGTATTTGATCTTGTCGAAATTCAAAGTGTTGTGTGTGACACTACAGGGAAAAGACATTCCTTATCATATATATTTCAATTATTAATATTTTTAATCATATATTCGGAGACCAGTCTCATATGACTGTGACAAAATTCGAATTCGTCAAAATTTTGCCAGTCTCAATTGTTGAGTACGTACATTTGACGTAGGCTTGATTGATAAAGTCGGTCGACAAGATAATAAAATATTTAATAACATTGGAATAGATTGTTTACCACTAGGGACACAGTCGTGAACTAGAACGTTTCTCTCTCTCTCTCTCTCTCTCTCTCTCTCTCTCTCTCTCTCTCTCTCTCTCTCTCTCTCTCTCTCTCTCTCTCTCTCTCTCTCTCTCTCTCTTCTCTCTCTCTCTCTCTCTCTCTCTCTCTCTCTCTCTCTCTCTCTCTCTCTCTCTCTCTCTCTCTCTCTCTCTCTCTCTCTTTCTCTCTCTCTCTCCCCCCCCTCTCTCTCTCTCTCTCTCTCTCTGACCGAATTAATTAATTGGAAATTGATTAATAAATTTTTCGATAATTGTTTTATGTTTTTAAAGTAGACGCAGTTAAAACATTGTTAGGTAGCATCGTTGCGAGATAAAATATTCTATTTAACAATATGATGATATAACGATTAGCCATATGATAACGATTAGTCGACGAATGACAAATTGGCCTGTGTTTGTATGTGCGATATCTGAGCCAGTATTGGCAATAGGACCGCAGAAATGTATTTATGATACCGATATAATTATAGAATACATATTTCACAGGTCCGTAAAAGTGACAATCAAGAAAAACCTTGAGTGCGACTTTCTATCCAGAGAAACCGGTAAAATAGCAAAAAGCGCACTGCTGTCGAACGTAACGAAGCGCACGAACTTTTCACGAGGTCACTCGCTGAGAACGAAGCAATTGTCATAGATTATCACGTAGAGTATTTTTGCGATGAAATAACATTTCAGTTACAAGAATACTGCTTACGCGCAAGACGCACAACTTCGTCCCACAGTTACATCACTTGCTGGAGTGCCGGAAGAATGTTATCCGCGCGTGCAGCTGGGCACATTCGCCTTCATACATTGCCGATGATTCACACCAATACATTCGGACAGAAATCGCATTCCTTTACGAGATTGGTCACTTACGGTGCTTTAATTTGCCCCTTTTCCTCTGAAACAAATAACACTCATATTCTAAAAAGATTATATACAAATATAATATTTATTATACCTGTATATGCTTGAAAATTTTATGCGCATCAATTGTGCTCGCGCGCGTGTCCACACTCATAATGACTGCTGATAATAAACGGCTGAGGCATAGTTAAACGTGGGAGCAGTTTTTTATTTGAAAGTAAGTGTTGTCACGCACAAAGTGAAAATACAATGAAGCGCTTTGCCAGACTCTCTCTCTCTCTCTCTCTCTCTCTCTCTCGTTCTGTTAATCAGGATTCCCAATGGATTAACTAATAGATTAATCTTGTTATATTGCAGCCAATCGCGCAATCGCGACGTGTCGAATTAAAAGCTAGTTCCGTGAGAAAACATCGTTTATGCAATCTAAATACATCTATGTATACAGACACGCAGACCACTTTGCTACTTTGACACAGCAGCTGTTGCAGTCACGTGCAAAACGTGTTAAACAATCAGTGCACGCGCGCGCATGTACCGTGTTGCATATGATGGGGATGGTAGCAATGCAACTGCTCAGCCGAAAGCAGAAACTGTTGCTCGGTGTGTCTTTCCAAGCGTTCTTTCCATTCATAAATATGGATAAGATATTCCTATTCGGCGGTCTATGCGTCACATGATAATCTTCTCGCACTCAACAATATTTCGATCTGGCTTGTAAATTGTCTCAAGTTTTATCGAAAGTACCATACCGGTCCGATAATAATCTATTCTGCGGCAGTTTTGCAGCAACTGCCCGATAACTTTTGCAATAGATTAGACTACAATCGAAAGATACGATAAATACAACGTTGTCCCCGCCATGCGTTGTCTCCCTTCTGATGATGTTTCCCTTCTGCGATTGCGCGAAGCGCCAAAAGAATCCCCGCTATTTCGCGTAAGCATGATATTTTCTATCTATTTTCGGTCTTCCGATAGAAAGTGATCCGCGCGTCCTCCCGATAATTCGTCGATAATTCTCACTTTCACTTTCGGCTCTCACTTTCCTCACACGACTTTCGAACGACCGACATTCACACAGCGCGACGCTGATACATGATCATAAAAATACTGCCGATCTAAATATATCGCTATCGCTATGTAAATCGCGCTCTGGCGAGTCACCAACTGCTACCTTGCGATATCCATTTGTTTTCCCGCTGCCGCTGGCATGATGCTGGAAATTTACATCTGCGTGCGCATGCGCGTGAGTGCACGCGTGTGATATTTGAAAACAGGAAGTCTCGAGTCCTCAAGTCCGTTTCCTTCCTACTTCCGAAAGTTTGTTTCGCGACGCTAACAGAAGATGCAAATGAACGCGAACGCAATCCCGTCTCGCGTTATATTCTGCAACAGCAAGAAACGATGAAGTAGTTAAGAAGAAGAAGAAGAAGAAGAAGAAGAAGAAGAAGAAGAAGAAGAAAAAGAAGAAGAAGAAGAAGAAGAAGAAGAAGAAGGAGAAGAAGAAGAAGAAGAAGAAGAACGAAAAATAACTTTTAATAACGCAATCGTTGTTCAGAGGGCTGCTACTCGATTTCTCTGCGATCCCTGCTTCCCTGGATCGATTGAAACGAATACGAAGTGATGCAAGTGATAACAACAACATGTACAACACTTGTTGAAACGAATGAAACGGCTCCAACAATCTAATAATGCGGAACTTCTCATCGAAGTCGGAGTTTCTATCCTGCAAAGTTAATACCGCGCGATTTTCATAAGCACACACATCCCGTATTCGAACCTAGTCCTAAGAGACTGCCGCAAGAGTCGCACGACAACGACGACGACGATGACGACGACGACGACGACGACGACGACGACGACGTTAAACTGCCTTGGATGATACGCGTTAGCCGGAAAATATCGCGCGCAAGCGTGCCTCGCAAACACCTCCACACCTCCGTCTCCGCCGACTAACTCCGAGTAATCGGTTTGATCGTTAATATCTCGGTAATCACAAATGCGAGTGAGAACATGCGTATACATGTGGATGGCACTTGTGTGGTAAAGATTACTCTCACACCGTGATGTGAAAAAGAAAAGGAAGAGGAAAAAGGAAACGCTTTTACTGCATTGCAATAATTTTCAACAATTATTCGCGAATGCGAAACAATTAGACACGTATTGGCGTGCAATAAAGCGCGATAAGAATTTTCAAGCAAGCGAATTTCTTTTATGCACCTGCTTCACATTTTGCTTCACATTCTAACCTGACCTGAGGTTGGAAAGCGACTAGCGACTAACCACGGTTTATTGCGAGTACACATTAACTTGTGATAAATGTGAATAACCATTGTGCAATGTCACTTTTTCATTTGCGGTTGTTATTGCGGTTATGTGAACGTAATCAACACGTAATCATCGTATATCCAAATTCGGTGTGCACTTTGGTGTTTTCGATCACGAAAATTTGGTTGCGACACGCGAGAGTTATTTACATAAGATCGCGCAATAAGAACGCGCAGCGATATTCTCTCGAACGACGTGCGAAATACGATTACGCTGAAATGTCAGCGACATTGAACTGACAATTATTATCCATGACCATTATCGGGCGTAAACAACTCGTCTCTCGTCATTTCTCTCGTAGATACGCCTGATTATTTAACTTTGAGCCGCTTTCCGCTTCGCGGTTCGGCGCGGCGGGTGATGTGCAATCAAGGTCGACTGAGGAACTGAGCTGTGCGAAGTGACTTTGGAATGATGTGGGAGAGAGAGAGAGAGAGAGAGAGAGAGAGAGAGAGAGAGAAAAAGATTCAAAGACAAAATCAGAATCAAAATTGAATCGCGCAAATCGAGCGAATAACTCGCGTTAACTGTATCCTCTTGCCCCGCCGCCGGATTGTGAAATATGATTACACGCGAAATACGAGTACATATACTACGTATATATGCATCATATTTACAAGCCACTGTGCAAAATAGCACGGAGATCGTTTCGCTCTGCGATCCAAAGCTACAGTTATTTTAGCTACACTTTATTATCGTCGTGCAAACAAAAATGGTTGTTTTCCCTGATATCTTTTCTGCATTTGACAAGATCAATCGAGGATTTTAGTTCCCGTATTATCACTCTCGATTATCCATTCTCTTCAGAAAGTACGAAATATGGATACGCGGGTATGTATTGCGAGAGAGAGAGAGAGAGAGAGAGAGAGAGGGGGGGAGGGAGAGGGAGAGGGAGAGGGAGAGGGAGAGGGAGAGGGAGAGGGAGAGAGAGAGAGAGAGAGAGAGAGAGAGAGAGAGAGAGAGAGAGAGAGAGAGAGAGAGAGAGAGAGAGAGAGAGAGAGAGAGAGTACCCCCCATTCACTCGCGCTCACTCTCACATATAAGAGTTTTCCCACCTTTGCAAACTTTATGATATGATCTTGATAATCGTTTTTGTTCTCTCAACATGGACAAGTTGTTTTCTCCTCTTTTTTTCTTTCTATCGGAAATATAAAGTTTTCATCGGCTGTAAACGAAGTTTTGCTTACTTGATCCGCGAGATGTGACAATATCTCAAGCGCGTTGACGAAACTTTTCCGAAAAAATATATTCGAGCAATCCCCTTCTTATCCCGCATTTATTATGATTGCATTTTCGCTGAGATAAATATCTCCATTTTCAACGACCCAAAGTATCTCCAAAACTGTATAAATTACACAATGTCTGAAATGATTTCTCTCCTTTCACCAAAGTATATCACATTTTTCTCGGTTTGCCTTAGAAAAATAATATTTACCTCAAAAATAATCGAAAGTTTATTGAAAGACGTAGCAGACGACAAGAATATATATATATATATATATATATATGTATATATTGTATGTGTAAAAATTCACGTAAAAAAGATGATTTGATATCTTTGATCCTTCGAAAATAAAAAGACAGAAAAAAATGTATGGAGATGATCGTTATCGTCGACGAGAAATTGCACAATCGAGAGTCGCGAACATCATTCGCGTTTATGATTTTTGCACATAAAATTTTATCGGTTGTAAAACCGCTGCTGTAATTCTAGCTCGCCGATTCTTCAGCCACAAATTTCTTCTTCCCGACGATAACTGGATATGCAGTCTGCGCTCCCTCCAGCCCCGTATTTCTTCGTGATCGTAAATTTTCATCTTCAGCCTCGGGCGTGACGTTGTTACACTCCGGAAAGCTTCTCTGGCGCAACCGGGGGCGTACATAGCGCAACGGTGGCGACGACATTTCCCTCTCGCGCGCATATAAATAATAATACCTCGAGGTTCAACAAAGCATCGAAATTACTCCGACATACCTGCGACCAAACTGACTTACATGCATAAAATAGCGAACCGTGTTATTACGCCGGGATAGAGTTAGAATCTAGGGCACACCTACTATAACCGCGGTGCATGGTATGTGTCTCCGTGACTTGTAATTATGATCGATGTTACTCACATCTCTGTCTCGAAATAACAATCGCGCGTAATCTTCCTTTGACACAAATCTTCTATCTATATTTGATAAAGATATTCGTGGCAGAGTTTGGCTTCTCTCTCTCTCTCTCTCTCTCTCTCTCTCTCTCTCTACCCCCTCCTCCCTTCCATCCCTCCCGCCCTCCTCCTCGCCTTCTCCATCACTCTCTTTGCGATGACTACATACGCATCATTCACATTAAAATTTCTAGTCGCTATTGTTTACTCGCGAGTTTGCTCCTCCTCCGTGACTGTCTATTGTCTAGTCGTCTAGTTGTGAACATTAATAGATTCGATATAGAACTTGATAGTCTTGTGCAATTACTTCTTTTGAAACTTTAGAAGATCAATATGAAAGTTTGAGAAACGGAACTTGTACCAATCCTCCCGAATTCTCTCGCGAGAAGATCTCTCGCGCTCTGCATTACAAACGTTCTCTTCGACGACGAGATTATCGGAAGGAACTTTTCTTACTCTTCGCTATTTTAATTGCACACTCTCAGCAGCGAAAAAGTCTTTAGTTTACGTTTAAATGTACTTGCTCGTGATACGTTGCTATCATCGCGAGCGCGCGATTGCAAATCACTTCCGAACAAATATCCCGACAATCTTACTGTCTATAGGCAATTCCAATCACACGCCACTTTCACACCAGACAAATATATATTTTTCATCTAAACGCGATACGTGATTTTTTTCTTCTCCCGATCCGTCCTCCCTTCTCTCATTAACCTTCTCTCGACATACACAAATGCCTAGAAATTATCCTACGTGTGAAGACAAGGCTATTCCTCAATCTCATTCGCCAGATTAGCAATATCAAAGGCAAAGACAAAACCTGCAAGCGGTTAATTAACTTACGGATCATCGATCACGACGGAAATCGATCGACGCCGTAGAGAGAGAGATAGAGAAAGAGAGAGAGAGAGAGAGAGAGAGAGACCAGAATCCTAATTAAGCTAGGATTAGCCATTTTACGATTAGATTTAATCATTACAACCGAACCATAGTAGCGCATGTTCCGTTCGCGGTCCGATGCCAATGTCGGTCCAAATCCAAACCGGATCACGTCGTCGCGCCGATGTCTCTCAGGTCACATGAATTCAGGATGAACAGGGGTATCCTCGGAGCGCGCGCTCCGCGAGGACGTCTGCGCGTGTTGCATTGCGGCTAGTCCGCTTTCCCCTCGCCCCTCTTATCTCTCCTGCTGGCAGAGCGATGTAGGAGTAGGACGCGATCTTCCACTACCTCTACGTGCCGTACGACTCCCGACTCCGGATCCTCCCTCTCGCCCCTTTCGTTCCCCTGTCTTGCAGTTACGATATACTGCACTGCAGCCAGGTATCTGTACTCACCTAACCACCCCCAGCGCCGTGGTCGAAGGTGTACATACGGAGACTGTGGACCGGATCAAACCAGTCGGTGACTCGCGTGCGCGCGAGTCGGTTCACTCCGGAACGCGAGTAGGCGAAATGTAGTCGAATAAGGATGGCATAACGCGCGCGCGCGCGGGGCCTATCCCGTGCATAAGGCCCCATTGTAGTGTCGCACACGTTGTCGCATTTATCTTCATAGTCTCTCTCTCTCTCTCCTCTCTCTCTCTCTCTCTCTCTCTCTCTCTCTCTCTCTCTCTCTCTCTCTCTCTCTCTCTCTCTCTCTCTCTCTCTCTCTCTCTCTCTCTCGCTCGCTCTCTCTCTCTCTCTCTCTCTCTCACACTCTCTCTCACTCACTCACTGCATCTCGTTTCGTTGTGCAAACACGAACGACGAACGAAGGGGTTCGTTCAACACTCAACACTCAGCGGGAATGACGAAAAGAACGTTCAACCACTGCGTCGCAGCACGATTGCATCCTAGTCCGATTCCGATTTTCCGTCTCTTCGCGACGTGACTGTTCGCAACTGGTCGCATTTATTGCTGTCGTTATTATTGTTGCTGGTAATATTATTTTCATTGTCGCGTGCACATGCAGCTGAAAATGCTGCGAAATACTGTTTGCTTACGTGCTGTTTGCTTGCGTGCGGTAACGCAGCGACGAAGTACTTACGCCTTGATTACATCCTGCTGGATTATCCTCCCAAAGAGAGGTAAGGGACCGACGTGTTTGTCTGTGAATATTTCTGACCTGATTGTACGTACTTGCTGCATCTTGGTCGAGAGAAAGTTAAAAAATACCCAATGTCCTATAACTTGTCGACGGAGACTCTTGGATTCCCTGGTTTCCGGTCCGTCGAAAAACGTCGAAAAAGATTTTTCATCTGACGATCCGTGACAATCGACGAGGGAGCCTTTTTCTCGCGAGCTTGCGGTATCTCAACTCACTGATACCCTATATTAGTAAATCGGCTTCTCAGTACCGAAAGAAGGTACCAGGTACCAAGTAAGAATGGCTGGGCCGCGCGCGGTCGTAACGCGGTCAGAATCAGAGAAACGGAATTGAAGTTGCGAGGAAACCGAGAGAGAATACCTATCGCCGGACGATACACGCCGATGACGATGACGGACACACGCTTTCTCAAAGCTTTCTCAACGTTGTCAGATGGATTTGTGAAGAGCTGTACACTCGGCACAATTCCCTCGATTCCCTCTCGCGATTGCGCGTGGAAATGTAATCTTTCATGCGTAACGACGGAAGGAATTTTCTCAATTTGTCGCCTCTTGTGAGTCTCTTGAACTCTTGCGCTAAACGGAAGAATTGTCGATGAAGTAAGTTATCAACAACGTGTTCAATCAACAACGTGTAAATTGTTGTAAATTGGATAATATAGTGATTTTATGCGAGACCAAATGTGTGTTTTGCGTTTCACAATATAAGCGGTAGCAGTAAGGTTCGGTGGTTATTAATTGTAATTTTCGATGCAACGTGTCACAAATCGAAGCATCGATCGTACTTATTATCGCCGTTATTTACCGGCGAAACCTGTAATCCCATCAAGTCGGCTACACGCACGCATCTCTTATGCAACTCGACGCGCACGAGAAATTCGTGGTCGTTATCGAGGATACCTGAGACACTTAAGTTTCGTAGCACGCGGATAGCTCAATGAGATTCACAACTGAATCACAACTTTACGTGTATAAAAGAGGAGAAGAACATTAATCTTTGTCTATCTTCGTATACGCGCACATCTGATGACTCCCCCGATGAAGATTGTGAATCTTCTTCGCAATACTGCTTCCATCTTGTTTCTTGCATTTTTGTCTCATCCGAGATCACTTGATTTCCCAAGCAAAAGAATGAGCACTTTGCTTTGCGAATCTAATCGTAACGGAGTTGATATTAAATTACGTTTCTCGTGCTGATGAAAAGATATGAGATTTCCATTTTTATTTTTAAAATGAACAAACGAAAACTGGATGCCGAACTGGATGTTAGTGTCCGAGACTGTCCGCGACGTCTCTGAAATAAAATCATCCCTCGTCTCCAGAATGTTCTCGAATTTCATCGAATCGAAGTTGTAGACGTCGCACGGAGAAATACTCTCTTAAATCCAAAAAAGTACGCGTGTTACGAATCAACGGATACTCTTTGATCTCTCCTCGAGTCCTCGAGTCGCTGATTTGCTGATCCGATAGGGTTGAATATCAATCTTCGAGTCAAATCGAAATAATAGACCCGTCTCTCTCTCTCTCTCTCTCTCTCTCTCTCTCTCTCTCTCTCTCTCTTGCAAATCGCATGACCGCAATATTACTCGCAATACACTCGATTAGTAGGTCAATGAAAAGACAAGTAGTCAACCGCGTGATGTTGAAAGGAAGGTTTAATAATGGAAAAGAAAAGAGAAACACGCTTTGTATATCAAATTATTTCCGAACGTTTTAGAATTCTTTTGTAGTAGTGATTAACAAGCTCAGACTAACTGTCACATGAGAGAGAAGACCTCCGATTAATTTTTCAGTCCCTAATTGAATCCCCCTCGTTAGTTTCTCCCCGCGATGGTTCATCACTCGCGACACCAAATCGCTGCTCGTGGATTCGAAATGAGACTCGGAAAATCTCTCTCTTCGCCGCGAAGAAGGGGAAAGGGTCGAGTTCGAGATACGGAGATTAATACGGGGGGATAATTAGCTTCAACTGGATTTAAAATCATATGGTGTTACAGAAAATGGTCGCAGAAAAGTACAGCCAAGCCGATCCTGAGCTGAAGGAGGAATTGCGCACGATTGCCCAGCAGATCGTAGCACCCGGCAGAGGTATCCTTGCCGCCGACGAGTCAACCGCGACGATAGGCAAGCGTCTTCAGGACATCAACGTGGAGAACAATGAGGAAAACCGCAGGGCCTACAGACAACTGCTTTTCACCACAGCAAAGGTACTTTGGTCGAATTGCAAGAATCTTCGCCAGAAAGAGAGAGAGAGAGAGAGAGAAAGAGAGAGAGAGAGAGAGAGAGAGAGAGAGAGAGAGAGAGAGAGAGGCCGAAACGTTACATTAATATTTAACTGTGGAACGTGACAACATTACGCCGCTCGTATCTCGGGTGTTTCAGACCACCCGATTTTTTCGTTAATGCGACATTTTGGAGAGAAGTATTTCAGACAAAAGTTATGGGGCTTCAAAGGATCTATTTACTGACGCTATGAATTTAACCTTGGTGGGATAACCTCGAAAAGTCCAGTCAAGATCAACATAAGAATCTTAAATGGATACCCCAATCTTTTTATTACATCATCTTTCTCCAGCAATTAATTTGAATAACTTTTGTTTGAAACATTTTTTTATTTATCTAATTCTTTTTTGAGATATTTAAGGAAAACTTGATAACTTTTTCAATATTTAACGAGATATTACGATATCTCGCTAACTATTTGTCAGAAGAAAAAGTGGTACTAGACTTTTTTGCTCTATTCAGTCTCAAGAATATATATTTTTGCAATAGCGCCCTGACTTTTGTTAACTTGCTAATTTTTTGAAATTTCAAAATCGTCAAATTAACCAAATTCAGGGCGCTATTGGAACAATATATTCTATATATCGCCGATCTTATCCTTACACGTAAAAGTATAAATCTTCCGCGAGTTTCATTTATACGTATTACATTTGCATGAGAAGGAATTTTCTCGGTTCTCCGCTCGTGAAATATCGTGCCTCCATCGGTAAGGCGCCGTAAGGTTAAGGTGCCGCTGGCCGAACAGATCGTCATCGATAGATGGCTCAGATCTCGCTCAGATGGCACGACAGAGACACGAGTCACGGGGTGGTCACGGCGCCGCTCGAGGCTGAGGCCGAGCGAGCGCTCACGCGCTAAATACATATATCGGCACTCGACTCGACTTTGCTTCTCTTCCTCAGGACGTCATCGGACAGCACATCTCCGGAGTGATCCTCTTCCACGAGACCCTCTATCAGAAGGCCAACGATGGCACGCCGTTCGTCGAGCTGCTGAAGCAGCGTAACATTATCCCCGGCATCAAGGTCGACAAGGGCGTGGTGCCGCTCTTCGGCACAAACAACGAGTGCACAACTCAGGGTCTCGACGATCTGCAGGCGCGCTGCATCCAATACAAAAAGGACGGCTGCCACTTCGCCAAGTGGCGATGCGTATTGAAGATCACCAAGGACACGCCGAGCAAGCTCGCGATCCTGGAGAACGCCAACGTGCTGGCGCGCTACGCCTCCATCTGCCAGAGCGCCAGAATCGTGCCGATCGTGGAGCCTGAAATTCTGCCGGACGGCGATCACGATCTCGCCCGTTGCCAGCAGGTGACGGAGGAGGTGTTGGCGGCCGTTTACAAGGTACCGCGCTGGATCGACTCGCTTGTGCTTGCGCACCGACTCTGACCCTCGCTCGCGTCAACCGACCCGAGCTCACGAGCCTCGCGCGAGTTTTCGCAGGAGCAAGAAAAGTCGCGAGATTTGTTCTTCCCTGTCTCTCGAATGTTGCGAAAATGAGATGATGCAGATGATGATATACAAGCACACAACTATCGCAAGTCACGAGACACGGTTCCCGCGAGTAAGGTCTAAGAATCTTCCAAAGAAGATTAGAAGATACGATAAGATACGATGTCCCCTCTCCCTTTTCTCCTCTTATCTTCTAAGAAGAAGAACATTTTTCCCAAGATAAGACTTTAAGATGAGTATTTTCGTCAACTCGCCGACTCGTTCCTTTCGTTGACGAGAACCGACGATCGTCGGAAAAACGTGTGAGAAGCAACAAATACGAGGACGTTCGACCAAGTTATGTATGACTCCCGAGTAAATCTATTGTTCCAAAGGTGCGTGATATTAGACTCAGGCTACTTCGATCAAAAGAATCTCCCGCGCGGCCGCGGCTGTCGAGAAAGCCGGCAGAGAAGGGACTGCGCGCTAGTTTAGTAAAATGATGGTAAAAATGGTGGTAACTTGTAGTCCACCCTGTATGTACACTTCCAGGCACTCGCGGACCATCATGTGTACCTCGAAGGCACGCTGCTGAAGCCCAACATGGTGACACCAGGCCAGAGCTGCCCGACGAGAGCGACTCCGCAGGAAATCGCTGGGGCTACGGTGACCGCGTTGATGCGCACCGTGCCACCGGCGGTGCCTGGCGTCACTTTCCTCAGTGGCGGCCAGTCCGAGGAGGAAGCATCGGTCAATCTGGACGCCATCAACAAGTATCCAGCGAAGAAGCCCTGGGCGCTCACCTTCAGCTACGGACGCGCTCTTCAAGCTTCCGTGCTCCGTGCGTGGGCCGGAAAAGCCGACCAGGTGGCCGCCGGTCAGGAAGAGCTGATCAAGAGGGCAAAGGTAAGACACGTGTACTGTGTCGTGTCTGTCGCCGACAGAGACGACAGATTCCATTCGACATGTCGTTTAACAACGTCGTTTAAATTACTTCGTTAACTCTCAATTATATCAATTTGTCACTAGCGTCCCGATTTTCGATATTAACGGAGATTAACAGCAATTTGGAAACCGGATATATATCAATCCGGCTCCCTAACCAATTAATTAATTAATTACCTTTATCTTTATCATCAAGAGATCAGCAAGATAACACGGCGCGCGCGGTAAAGATGGATTCTATTCTGAAGAAAAGAAATCTATATTCCGTAAAGTAAAAGCTCTCTCACTGCTGCTCTCCTCTTACACATTCCTCTTCTTTCTCTCCGTCTTACAATTTGTAAAGCATGTCTGTGCAGCGTGTGTAATCTGCAATTCTTACGCCCCCCCTCCCCCCCATGATAAATGAGAGTCGACGAGTAATTAGATTGCATGCGTATATATTCGAGTTCGTGGCTGTTGGTGATAGCTATTCACAGTTTATTCACTCTCAGTTTTCACTTCTCTCTTTTCATTTCTCTCATAAATAGCAGCTGTGTCACTACGTAGCTAAAGCAGATGTCTTTGATCTGCATTTTACTCACTTTATCTCAGAGTGATTCCCCGCTCTAACATTTACGTTCCAGGCTACCTTTGCACTTTCGTCCCTCCCCTGTCCCGTCGGAAAAGAATTATTTTCCCTAGTAGAAAGGAAAACTCGCCGTAATTTTTCCGTCCTTTCTTCCTCCTCCTCGTTTCCGCGTCGCTACGCGCCTACGCTGGTCGCTCGAAACCTACGTGCCGTGGCGATGCACTGCGATGCACTGCGAAGCACAGGCGACGCACATTTCTTGCATGCTGTGTAATGTGTGCTTGTTTAGGCAAACGCCGCAGCCTGCCAAGGCAAATACGTCGCTGGTAGCATTTCTAGCAAAGCCGCTGGCACCTCTCTCTACGTCAAATCTCACGCCTACTAAAAAAAAAAAGCAAAAAAATCTTGCCTTTCCGCACAGAGTCAGTTTCTCCTGTGGCAGTAAGTACAACGAATCAACGTCGAAAGAGATGTTAACATTTTTTTGTGGATCGATCCTCACTTTCAATCACCCGCACACGACTTGTGCGAAAATCTTTCAAGATTTTATGTTCATTTTATAAGAGAAATGTGCAGAGGAATGTGTGGATGGTCCGCAACAAGACGTTAACATTTCTCCCCTGGCGAAAGTAACGAAAAACAATTGCGTTAATTAAATCTGATAAAGCTTCGATTGAGAGATTTCTTCGTCAATAAAATTCGTCAAGTTAAAAAATGTCATTGAAATGTCAGAGTAAAATGTCTCTCAATGCGGTTCAAGAGCGTGACTAAAGTTGAATTTGAAATACTTTGCCAGAGATTTTTACGAACGCTCATCTCTCCTTATTCTCCTTATTCTTCTTGCTATTGTATCTAGCAAGAAAGTTTCTTCCAAAAAGACACCCAGCTACCGCAAATAAAACTATATATCTCTATTTTCCTCAGGCCAACAGCGAATCGGCGCTTGGCAAGTATGGGGGTGGCGTCGCCGGTGCCGCGGGGGATGCAGCGCTCTTCGTCGCTAACCACGCATACTAGATCTAAACCCATAGAGAGAGAGAGAGAGAGAGAGAGAGAGATTACGATGCGAAAGAGTAAGGGATTAGACGCAAGATTAAGTCGCCGAACCGAAGTCGCTGGATCATCATCGCCGTTGTTTTCTGTCGCGTAGTTCCGCGCGAAAGACAGAGAGAAGGAATTCTACCGAGGAGGATTGAGAACGATTCGCGGGCATATCACGAAACCACGCGCCAAAGTTCAAAGTTTTCGAGATCGTTTGTCGCCACGTGGCTTTACCGTGGCGCACGTCGTTTCTCACGAACAACCCCGTATATATGCCCAAGCCGGGCTTTTCATTTACTTTGTCTTTCTTTTCTCCTTTTTTTCATTCCATGAAGCTCAATCGATCGTGCAGCGATAGTTAATTTGATACCATGCCGTCTGACTCGATTCCAGTGATTCGGATTGATATTCCGTATGACGACTTTGTCCGGACGATTGGTGAAAATTTTCTGGTATAGGGACACCTTGTGGGTGTCATCTTGTCCGACAGCGGCGGATATGTCCGACGATCAATTTGGCGGAGAATCTTGTGAAAAATGTACAGATATCGAGCCGATAGGTTTCCTTTTCGACATATAGAGCCATTTCTCTCGAATACGGTTCATTTTTACGAGCTACGCGAGATCCATCTGCATCAGTGATCGAAGAAGTTCCAAACATACTATTACACACCGATCGCGAACAGATTTCGCGGCATCCGATATTATCTGACATGCGATCATTATTGTGTTGAATAATATTATAGGATACATACAAGGCAAATATAAATTATATAAATATAAATATGTGTGTGTGTGTGTGTGTGTATGTATATGTGTGTACACATATATACGCATATAATCAATGTCGTTGTACTCTACGTGTATAAAATAATAACATCGTAAGAAGAAAGAAGAAATACGTAAGATAAAGCGTAAGATAAAAATATTAAATGTTGTTTATTAGCGAATGAGTCGAATATTACAAAACCGTGCTGTATTGTGTCGTCTAATTATACAATATAATATCTCGCATAGTCTACTCGGATAATCTACTTGAGAACTATCTCGCATGTCGATGTTACATCTAAATATTTTCATTGTAATCTAGGTCACCAAATACAACTGTGGAGGGCAAAAAAAGTATCTGTGCATGTGTGCATAATATTTTTAAAATCTTTCCCTTAAAAAACCTTTAAATAGCAATAATAAATTTTATTAATATATATTAATAGAAAGAAAATAATAACAACTTCCCCTCCCTCCCTCCTCCCTCTCTCTCTCTCTCTCTCTCTCTCTCTCTCTCTCCCTCTCTCTCTCTCTCTCTCTCTCTCTCTCTCTCTCTCTCTCTCTCTCGCTCTCTCTCTCTCTCTCTCTCTCTCTCTCTCTCTCTCTCTCTCTCTCTCTCTCTCTCTCTCTCTCTCTCTCTCTTTCTTTGTATAATTATAAATCACAATGATTATGATATATAAATCGAAATTTGTTATACAACTATCGAACAGTGTTTGGAAAGATTAATAACAGCTCGTGTGTGACTATACCAGGTCTGTAAATATGAAGCCGGAATTTGCCCATAGATGGCCCTAGCTGTCAATGTAGTTACCGTCAAACCGCGTCATTGGCGCCATTTCCATTAGTTGACATCTGACAAAAATTTTCAACTCACAACAATACAAGTTTCATACAACAGCATAGCGTTTGTAATAGCGTTGAACATGTCGAATTTTGTGCCTGGAAGCTACGATTTGCGGACAGCATTGATTTTCTGTTACCACTTGAAGAAAACTGCTGCAGAATCGCATCGAATGCTTCTCGAAGGTTATACGGTGAGCATGCTCTTCGTAAATCACAGTGCTTTGAGTGGTATAAAAAATTCAAACGTGGCGATTTTGACGTGAGAAACGAAGAACGTGGAAGACCACCGAAAAAGTTTGAAGACAGCGAATTGCAAGCATTGTTGGATGAGGATGACGCTCAAACGCAACAACAACTCGCGGATCAATTAAATGTGACACGAGAAGCCGTCTCCATACGTTTGAAAGCCATGGGAAAGATCCAGAAGATGGGAAAATGGATTCCACATGAACTGAATGAAAGACAGCAGGAAAACCGAAAAACCACTTGCGAAATGCTGCTCGCCAGGTACAAAAGAAAGTCATTTCTCCATCGAATTGTGACTGGCGATGAAAAGTGGATATATTTTGAAAATCCTAAGCGTAAAAGATCATGGGTGACTCCAGGCGAACCATCGACATCGACTGCAAGGCCAAATCGCTATGGACGGAAGACAATATTATGCTCTGTATTTGGTGGGATCAGAAGGGTTGTGATCTATTATGAGCTGCTAAAGCCTGGCGAAACCGTTAATACTGAACGCTACCGACAACAAATGGTCGATTTGAACTCCTCCTATGTAATGCAAAATATTTTATACAAACATAGAAAGCTCGATGTTGTCTAACATTTCAGTTAAATTATTTAACTGTTTAATATCTTCAGTATTTTCTTTAACATTTGAAACATGTTTTTGATTTTGAAATTTGAATATTGCTGGTAGATTAGAAGTATCAATGATGCAGTTTGCATTTACGTTTGCACAAATTTTATTTTTAAAAAGCAATTTACGTAAAGCCCACTTAAATTGCAAGCAATTGGGATTGTCATTCCAACTACCTTGATTTCTGATACACGAAAAGTAGAGTTCTAAATTATTTTGAGAACACTTGTAAGGTAGGAAATAATGTAAACTATAAGTTGGCATTGAAAATAGATCATTTGCGAGATGAACAAAACTAGATGCATCTAAAATAGATCCTAGAGCAAAAGTTTTCCTATTACAACGAAATACAGGAACGTCATTAACTTTTAATGACGAGATATACGAAACACTGGAATCAAAAATTTCCTTAAACAGTTTTGAATTTTCTTTTCTTATGGACGCTTTATAATTTTTTCCAAAGGAATTTCGTGCATTCATCATATCGAATAATCTATCAAATATTCTCAAACATTCGCAAGTGGCTTCGCTACCTTGAAAATCCTTATTACCACTATGTCTTAGAAAATCGATAACGTCTGCAACACTGCTACTTATAGTTTGTGCGGCCAATCGAACATTCATTTTTTTATTAAAAAATGAAATATGTGCACCACTTATTTTATTTGCTAGCTTGAAATCTTCTTCTTCTTGTAATGAATGCAATTTTTTTTTTTTTATTAAAATCTATTTTCCCTTGTGGGCTACTGATATTACTTTCAGCAAAAGTGTTCCTACTCAATTTAATTATGTGACACAGGTCGAGTATGCAATGTATATTACTATTATGTGTTAGATGTCGAAACATTGTTGTAAATGGTTCTTTGGAAAAATAGCAACCAAGTATTTCAAAAGTTTTTTTATTAGTCCCACATCCATCACATGTTATTGATCGCACGGTTATTCCTATTTCCTGTAAAACTTTAATTGCATGGATTAATAACTGTGCTTGGAGATCAGCATTTAATTTATTAACGTAAAAATAAGCAATTGGACATTTAAATCTACATGTATATGATACTATCTGAAAGACTAGAGCTTCTTTGGCTAACTCTTCCTTATTTTCTACCGCAATATTGCCATAATCTATATATCCTCGGAATTTGTCATTTTGTGCGTCATACAATACTTGACTACGGATAGCCATTGAGTCAAAAATTAAAGCAACATTTTTTAGGTACGTTTTCTCACAAACTTCTTGTTTTAAAAATTGAATAACTTCAGTCAGAAAACCAACATCACATTTAAGGGTACTCATCCATTTTCGCAATGTTGCTGAATGTGGCAAATGCAACTCTTTTTGTACAAATGAATATGCCTTTGGAGAGTAAAATGAAAGCGTTAATGCAAACTGCTTTATCTCATCTGAATACCTTCTGCGAGAAGGAGAAACTTTTTCATTTTTTAATTCATTTTTTATTAAATCTAAGGTTAATCCTGTAGAATTATTTTCTAATGCTTGCTCTAATGCGTCAGTACATTTATCATTTTGTTTTAGATGAGCTATTAATGCTTTCATGGATGCTATGGATTTGTCTTTTCGTCTTAAACGTTTTTGCAATATTACAAGTCTCCTCTTTGTTTGTGCTTCCTTTGGAGATAGAAGTAACAGTCGTTTCTCTACTTGAATTGCAACATCTTTCTTTATTTTTTTACAAGACTGTACCTCTTCTTTTTGTGTTCCAATATCCGTCATTCTTTTTCTTTTTGGTGATTTCAGGAAAGACACATCTTCCACTTGTACTGCGTTATCCTTCATTGTAGTAATTCTGCTTTCATTGACCTTCAACATAAGTAATTTTAAAATAATCTACAAGCAATTATTTCCAACTGCGACATATCTCGCAATATATATGTATGTATATAACAATTATTATCCGTAATAAACGCCATTGTGAATACCATTCTTGAATCAGGTAAGGTAACTACCACTAGCATCATTTGGGGACAACTCAATACTGAGTTCATTATTATGTTGTTGGGATGCATGTAGTCTACTTGTTTGTATCTATGGCATAACGAACAATATAATATTTTACAAATAGAAATAGTTTATGATTCAGATAATGTCGAAACAAGAAGTTAATTTAGAAATAAATAAAAGCCAGATGTAAGAAGTTGTGTATGAAATATTCTATTAATAAATTCAATGCTCAATGTATGTGTGTAAATATTCAACATAAGCTAATATTTCGATCATAACCGTCCTCAGTGCAATACAAAACATTAACATAATATGTGAAGAAAGTAGTTTCTGCAATTTATATGTATGTACAATATTGCTTTGCTTTATACATAACGTTAATCTACTGTATTGCATTGAGGAGGATTGTGGTATACGACTGCTTTGCTTATGTCTTACATTCACACATTTAGCGTTGAATTTATTAATAGAATATATATTTTGCACTTAACTTCTTGCATTTGGGCCCTTCGTATTTCTTTCTTAGCATATTACACATTTTTACAAAATGATGGAAATATGCTACAAACTTAAATAAAATTTATGCAACTCACCACTTGACAAATGTTAATATTTTCTTTACTTTCTTCGGTCTCTCAAAAAATAGTTGGTACCGCATTCTTTTTTAATGTTCTTTGAAAGAATGAACTAACTGTATAACATTCTTTCTCAAAATGTTCACCACAAATAAATGTCGATTTTGTATGATTTTGCAGCTACCCTTCAGGAATATTTTTCATCCATTTTGTTGCGAGTTCTTCATTCGTCACAGGAAAGCTAAATAAAATTAATTAATACATTAGTACATTAGAAATATATCAGGTTAGGTTATTTGGAGTTCGACTATTTACCTGTGAAATGTCATTCTTTCGTTTGGATTCCAGACATTTTTGCAGTTTTTTATATTGCAATGTTTTACCATTATATATATATATATATACTCAACCTTTTAATTATATTAATTTAAACTACGTTCTCCTTACTATGTAACACAGCGCAAGTGACATGATATGACATGTGAGCTTACGTTTTTAGCTCAGGTAATACGTAACAGACAAAAACGGAGATACTATTTGGATATTCTCTCTCTCTAGCCGCGGCCCCTACCAGGCCAGCGCTCCTTCCAGTTAGTTATATAGTTCAATGGTTGTTACGTATTATTAGTTCTCAAGTCTCCGCTATGAGCCGCCACCATCCTTAATGGACGAGAAGAGGCGTCCCAATTCGACACGATTGGACACAGCCAATTAAATTAGTTAGTTAGGTTCGGGATTAGGTTAAATTTGAGGAATATTATTGGTTATGTCCAATCGGATCCCACCCAATGTTGAATCGAGCTCGTAGTTTTTCAGGGCCGTGTCATATAGAATAATGTAATAGCTCCCGTAACAGCACAGAACACGCGTCACGTGGCAATAACATTGGCCAATCATCGTCTTGCTTTCCCGGAAATAAGAAATATATATATAACTTGTCTTATTTCCGGGAAAGCAAGACAGTGATAGGCCAACGCGTTGACGCGTTGCCACGCTTTTTCCGCTTTTCCGTTTAAGTCGTTGTGTTCTTTTACAGGTTATCCGCTTTAGTTTGTGTACCACATTCAGGGATAGGTTTAATGTTGAATGTTTATTATCAACACGACGACGAGTCAAACAACAGTCTTATTTCCTAGTAGTACGATTCAACGGCAAACTAAAATTACAAATTTAGCAAAACTAAAATTACCTATGTTTATATATTCAAACATATGTATACAAATTCTATCTGCACATGGTCACATATAAGAGGCCTGTTCGTTTTGTCTGCACTGCTGAACTGGTGCAATAAGTTAAAGTGAGACAAACATAGGTTTTCTCACTCTAACTTGTTGCATCAGTTCAGCAGTGCAGACAAAACGAACAGGCCTATAATCACCACGATATGTATGTGTGTCCACGCGGAAAAGGAATTATGGTAAATAAAAAAAGAAAAAAGTAGAAAGATAGGAAATAACGTGTTTTATTCAGATAAACGTCGATACATCATACACTGCCAGAAGCATAAGCATTTACTACGATTGTAGATGTTTTCATTGCGAATATATATGATTATGTATGTATGATTCGATACATGGCTATATGTAAGGCAATATACAAAATATACATATGATCTTTTTTTACCTGGGAATGTATACAAATCTTTTCAGTTTCTATCTACCGATATAGCTTTATAAGTATGGGTAATTCCAGTATCCAGTTTAGGGATAGAATTCGATAAAAATAGACTCAATCAACGCGCTTTTCAATAAGGAGCAACTTTTTCCTCTGTCGAAAATTGTCGCTCTCCACTGCGAAACGAAATAAAACTAGTTAAAGTTGACTCGTATAATAGGTTAGGAAACCTGTCATACAGACTAAAGATAGCGACATGAGTACATACACTCTGTGGTTACGTGCGCATGCTCTGTGGTTGCGTGCGCATGTAAAAAGTGCGCTAATTTAAAATCAACACTTCTCTCTGTACTTATGTGTCATTTAGAGTTCAACGATAAATTAATATATTTATTAAATCTTCACCTTACTAAATAGATGAGTCTATAATATACTAAAATTAATAAAAATAATTAATGAATAATTAATAATAATATAATTAATAATATAATTAATAATAATAATTAATGAGTGTACAATATTCGTTGGTTTAATAAATAAAAATGCCTCAACATATGTACACATACACACACACACACACACGGGGATGGGTGCGAGGGGGCCTTCGGCCCCCCCCTCCCGCACCCACCCCGTCCTCGTTGCGCGTGGAAAGTTGCGAACCCATCCGGAATCTTGACAGATTTCCTAACCTGTTATACCAGTCAACTTTAACTATTTTTCTTTCGTTTCGCAGTGAAGAGCGATAATTTTCGCAGAGGAAAAAGTTGCTCCTTATTAAAAAACACGTTAATTGAGTATATTTTTATCGAGTTCTAAGGCGGAGCCCCTAAACTGGATAATTACCTAAGTATGAAAATGGAATATACAACGGATGCAAAAATTGATTGAATAGATTGAATAGAAATTGATGAGGAATTCATTAGAATCTGTTGAATTGCGGAATTGATAATTCCATGTGCACCAAGGAGAATGCTCAGCAATGGAGGAAGAACCTGAAGTGGTGGAACATTTCTTCGGAGTATACCTGTTGTATTGCATAAATCCAAAATACAAAGGAAGAACATACATAGGGTATACCGTAGATCCAAAACGCAGAATTAAGCAGCACAATGCTGGCAAAAAGTATGGGGGAGCATGGAAAACTAGTAATCGAGGACCGTGGTAAAGCTAAAGTTTACTTCTTCTCATTGTACAGCATTCAAAAATATTAATCATACCAAGTGTACGAATAATCATTTCTAATCTCTACTAGAGGCTGATAAATTAACAATTGATAAAATAAATACTTTTTATGTATGTACACATTCTAAATTTCAATAACTGTCATATTTAGGGACATGGTTTTGATTGTTCATGGATTCCCTAATAGCACCTCTGCGCTTAGAGTAAGTTTTGGACAGTCAATTCTCTCAAACCAGGGATAGCTCATCGAAGGATGTTTTGTATAATATTTAAAAAGAAAAAGAATTTTATTCTTATAATAGGTGTATTATTTTAGTTTGAATGGGCCTGGCAGCATCCACATGTTAGCAGACGGCTGAAACATATCCCCAAGAAGAAGTCATCGCAGAAGGCATTTGAATTTTGTCTGACAGTTCTATCCGAAATGTTAAAAGTTGGGCCTTGGTGTTGTTTACCGTTGACAATACGCTGGCTGGACTATGAATTCTCCAAAGACTATTACGGATATATATCTCCACCATTACACATGCCTATATGCTACGGTAAAGTCGCCAGTTGCAAAATCAAGCGAGCAAAAGATGCGAAAGTAAGTGTTATTCAACCGCAAGACTCACAGTCAGCAGTGGAAAAGTTGTGTCCTCTTTGCGGCTCAATTATGACAGAGAGAGATTCCATCAGTTGCGTGAAGCCAAAGTGCTGTTTAATCGCTCACTTGATTTGCTTAGCAAAAGTATTTTGCCAGAGCGGAATGATTTTACCGATCGACGGTACTTGTCCCGCATGCAAAACCAATGTTCTCTGGGGAGACCTCGTTAGAAAGAAAAATGGCTGTTATCGAGACCTATTGCGAGAAACCGACACCGATACCTCCTGTAGCGACAGCGACGATACTTAGATGTAATTCAGTGGAACCAACAATATATCTGTATATTTCTACCTATAAATAATGCACATAAATTTTTATTTTCGTTTCACGAAATTCTAGTAATAGGTCATGCATGTATGTAGGATATAACAGGGATTAGAAATCACTTGTATCATTGACACG